CTAATGTACAATATAAAGTGACCTCTGGTCCTCCTACTGATGTACAATATAAGGTGACCCCTGGTCCCCCTACTGATGTACAATAAAAGTTATCCTCTTGTCCCCCATATGATGTATGATATAAGGTAACCTCTGGTCCCCCTACTGATGTACAATATAAGGTGTCCTCTGGTCCCCCTACTGATGTACAATATAAGGTGCTCTCTGGTCTCCCTACTGATGTACAGTATATGGTGTCCTCTAGTCCCCTACTGATGTACAATATAAGGTGACCTCTAGTTCCCTACTGATGTACAATACAGGGTTACCTCTGGTCCCCCTATTGATATAAAGTGTAATATTAAATGTCCTCAGGTCCCCTACTGATATTCAATATAAGGTGACCGAAGGTCCTCTACTGATGTACAATATAAAGTGACCTCTGGTCCCCCTACTGAAGTACCCTACTGATGTTAAATATAAGGTGTCCTCTGGGTCCCCTACTGATGTACCCCTACTGATGTACAATATAAGGTAACCCCTAGTCCCCCTACCAATGTACGATATATGGTGTCCTCTGTTCCCCCTACTGATGTACAATATAAGGTGACCTCTTGTCCCCCTATTGATATACAATATAAGGTGACCTCTAGTCCCCCTACTGATGTCCCTACTGATGTTCCCTACTGATGTACAAGATAAGGTGCCCTCTGGTCCCCCTATTGATCTAAAGTGTAACATTAGATGTCCTCTGGTCCCCTACTGATGTACAATATAAGGTGTCCCCTAGTCCCCCTACCAATGTACGATACATGGTGTCCTCTGGTCCCCCTACTGATGTGCGATATAAAGTTACCTCTGGTCCCCCTATTGATATACAATATAAGGTGACCTCTAGTCCCCCTACTGATGTACAATATAAGGTGCCCTCTGGTCCCTCTATTGATCTACAGTGTAATATTAGGTGTCCTCTGGTCCCCTACTGATGTTCAATATCAGGTGACCACAGGTCCCCCTACTGATGCACTATATATGGTGACCTCTGGTCCCCCTACTGATGTCCCCTACTGATGTACAATATAAGGTGTCCCCCGGCCTCTACTGATGTACAGATAAGATGATTACTGGTCTCCCTACTGATTTAGAGTATAAGATAACTTTTGTTCCTCCTTCTTATGTAAAGTGCATTATAAGGTTTCCTCTGGTCCTACTGTTATTCAATTGAAGGTGACCTCTGGTCCCCCTACTTATGTACAATATAAGGTGATCTATATATATACCTATATATTAGTGTATTAATGCTAACTGCAATTAATTTTCTTCATGATAAAGTCACTTGCCAGTTTTGATTCTTGATGCATATGGAGAATAATTAATTTGCCTGGATTTAAATTCGGGGATGAATATTATTATTAGCCAGAATGCTTTTATAAGTACACTGCAAAATAAAACATGATAAAGAAGAATTTACGTATGAATTTATATTTTTAGATAAACTGTACGAGACATGGATACAAATGACGATTGTGCAATTTGTTTGGAAAAATTAAGAAGGCCGCATTACTGCTTGCCATGTAAACATATGTTTTGTCGTGAATGCATTTCCATTTGGAGAGAAAAATCATGCCCGCTTTGTAGAGAACACATAAAGTCCCACAGGCCAGTTTCATTATTCACTATTGGTGAGTATTACTTTTGGCATTCCAGCTTCACTTACTGGTGACGCTTTCGTCTTTCAGTTGATTCGATATCCACAGTCAAAGACGATCTATATAGTTTTCGAATATGAGCAGACTACTGCCAAAATATGTTTCAAATCAAGGAATCCAACTATTTCCTTTATTGCAACATCCTGCAAATATTGTGATCATCACATTAGCACTAATCTATTAAAGGGTTATAACACAAGCAAAATTGTAACTAAAAATAAACCGTATTTCCTTGATCAGAACATCAATGAAATTGGGAAAGCTAGGCTAAGAAGAGGAAACAATCAAGACTATTCATATATTGTACTTACTTTGCAAAGACTCATCACCGAACTTACCGGTCGATACATGACGTTTACTCTTAAATGATACCTAATCCATCCCCCAGGTTTTCGGGGGTCCTTGCTTACTTTACCCTCGGTTATTTTTTTTTTTATTTTGCAAAATAATGAAATTTTCATTTTTTATATACCGTTGTATGAATGGAATGTGAATTTAACCATGAAAAAGCAATGAAAACTGGTGACTGAATGGCAGAACTGATTCAGTCATCTTTCAGTGGATTGCAGCATTTCATCTATTATAAATAATTAATTTTTCATAAACCTTATATCATTTTAATGTTCATTACAGGAATATCAGCTTGGAAGTCTCTCAACCACGCTAAAAGAAACATTTTGATTTGTCTCGTTCTGGCAATTGTCTTTATTTTCATCGACATTCCGAATTCTACTGGACTCTTACGTTCCTTATTATACCCTATTTTTGTGGATTTGCTGTGGGTATTATTGGGAACATTGTGCATGCTGCTGACACTTATAATTATGATCCTAAAATGCACTTATAGACTGATTACTGAAATATTAGCGTTTGAGATTCAAAATATCCTTCCAACAATGTACAATATAGTAATGGCTACCGGGAAACATGTAATTGATATACCAGTTTGTTTCTATAAAGGATTAAGCATCTATTTCTGGGATAATAGTTGGTCTGCATTACTTTTGAAAACAGCTCATATTGGGGTTTTGACAATTTTTATGAATTCCGAGGCTCGATTGGAAATTATCAGACTATTTCAACGAATTAATCTGAGAGAAAGAGTTCGTAATGTGTTTCATTAAACATTATTTGATTTAAAGCACTTACTTTGGTGAAGGTAGCCACCCTGCATTTTATCTACTTGTAGGCTTGTTTCCTTTTTAAGAGGTTTATGCAATTCATGTTTGTACATGTATCATATGCATATCAGTCTGGTTGCTGACAATAACAATTCTTTAGATCAGATTGATTATTTTGGTCGGTATTCAGAAAATCAAAATTATCATATATCTTCTCGCATGTTGTAGATCTGTAACCAATTCATAATGAAATATTATATACATGTAGCACATGTACAATTAATGTTGTATTTTTGTATTTTCTTAAGAAATGTCATAATAAAATGTAAATTGCATAATTAGTGGTTCACTATTTGTTATTCTTATTTCCTTTTCGTGACGTGACATATATGGAAATAAATACTTATAAGGCGTGTGTTGAAATAAAAATATATTTAATTATGGATATTATCATTCATAGTACTTCCTATAGTTATTTCGACGTGGGCGATACCGAGTAAACATACTTACGCAATACGATTATTACTTCAATGTAATGATAATGGTATTCTAAAATATAGCGCACGAAATTTCACTTTTTTTTTCCTTATGAAAAATTTATCTGAGCCGTTTAATAAAATATGATTATTTAAGGACAGAAGAGACGTTCTCACAAATATATATTATTTTTCCTAAGATTTTGTCATTGGAAATTACTACTTTAACATGTTTTCTCACAAAAAAAGAGGGACCTTAACAGGCATTTGTGCGAGATACCAGATGTTGGCATTTCTTATACAACCCTTTAGGGGAAAAAAAACTTAGTTTGCCAAAATCACATTTTTAATGTTTCAAAATTTCAAAAACAATTAGAAACAGGTTTGGAAATCATAAAGTAATTAATTTTTGTATATTTTTCATACATTATGAATATATACAAAACAGAAATTTGGGGAACGTATCGTCTGACCTTAATATCTATTGGTTATGAAAATGTTATTTGCATATAAGTCCCAAAAACCCGGTGAACCTTCTAGGGGTCATTATTTTTAATATGCATCCGTAAACAATGATTTGGGTAGTATAGATTTTGCCCATTTCGATCAACCCTATCCCTAAATTTTGATTAAACGAAGCTATGACTTTTTGGACAATTTTTACCCGTGTTTTCCTTGTAAGAAGTCCTTTCTTTAGATAAAAAAAATATTTGACCTCTTTACCTTAGATATTGACCCATTTTGTAATAATGCCCAACTTTTACAATATCATTTTAACAGTTAAAATGTGTTTGGACACTCTCTCATTGTGCTATAGTACTCGGATCTCCTCGGGTGGCTTGTACCTCGCACACTAACCTCGGATGCCAAAGGTGTTCTACTATTTTGCTGAGTCTGTCCTGTGGTCTTATTTGAATTTCATTCATGTTTTACTTTTGAAATCCGAGTTACTTTGATGCACACTCAACACTGTGTTCTTGCTTTGAAAGACCACTAACCTACGGTTGTAATTAACATGAGGAATTAGACAAATAAAGAAACCTTTTCGAAGAACTTTAGGCAGAGCGAAATATGAAATAAGTGACAAGGCAGTTTCTGGCGGAGAAATGTGTCGACTTGATGCGTATTACTCTACCTACTAGTACATGTACATCCGACGTTTAAATGGAGCATAGCAGAGTCAGCCGAGGATTGCCGATGAAAATAAACATGCTAATAATGAAAATAAAGATTCATGTTGATCATCCATTGTAGAATTAAGCTATGATTTGGATACACATATGAAGGATATTGAATACGCATTATTCAAATGAAGACAATCAATTAATATAATATTTTTTCGAAAATTTCTGTTTGAAAACCCTTTATGTTGCAAAATTATGTACTCAAAATGATTTAAATATATTTGAAATTCATGGAAATGTAATCCACAAATATCAGTAAAAAAGAAATTTAATGCCTTTTCGGCTATATGATTAAATATCAACGTATCAATTAAATTAAAAGCACGAATATCAAGGTTTGGCAAATTTCTGCTTTATCGGAAATATCAAAAATAAATCCGGAAATCCTTTTTTTCATCATGTATCGTGTTTCCTGAGTATTCCAAAGGGAAGTATATTCTTCTGATATTATAAAATGTAGTGTCCATCGGAAACAATTCTAAAAGAACGGCATACATGAATCAGTTTTAGAGCTAGAATAAAGTACTGTCGATGGATAAAAGAAAGATAAAATTAACTGGATTGTCACTGTTTCTAATAATTAACAAGTTAATATCCAGTGAGAGCCAATGCTTGAAAGACGAACCAAGATGTGATTGTTCCATGTACAGGATAGATTGTATCAATAAATCCTTAGACAGAATCCCTTCAGGATTTCCACCCACAACTAAACAAATGTAAGTTCATTACTTTTTTGTTCTCGTTCTATAAAGGGAGAGACTAATTACAATTCCATTGTCAAATAAATAAAGATCAACTTATCTCAGAATTATTATTGAAAACTTTTCGTAATTGTTTTATTTTAATATTTGGCCATGGATAATTACATTTTATTTTTTGTAGATACCTAAACGACAATAAGATAGCTGGTGTTCGAGAGGGCGTATTTGTTAGACTCCCTCGTCTTTTATCCGTGTAAGTATTGGTGTAATAAAATATTATTAATGTTTATATATTAAAAACTAGTCAGAATATTTTTGGATTCGTATTACATTCCAAAACACAATTTGTTTGTTTTAGGAATTTTTACAACAACCATATATCGTACATTGAATCAAAGGCCTTTTATAATCTTTCCTCGTTGGAAGATATGTAAGTATAGCTTAAGATTGTTACGTTTTACTAGTGTTGTGAAGAGATATTTTCATATTAATTATTCATATGTTATCTTTTTACCTTTCAGTGTTTTGAATAACAACAATTTGCAACAAATTTTCCGATGGACCTTTCTTGAATTAAAGCTTTTATATGACATGTAAGTACAGTCGTGATAAAAAATAAATTCAAAACCAACAAAGATGGATTTAAAAATGAATTCTTTTTTTCGGTTACACAAATTGTGTGTCTTGTATTACGAGGGTTGCACGAAAAGTTCGTGGACAACTGTCATATCCTTTTTATTTGACGTCATATGTTATCCAAATTTGGTAGAAATATTTAAACAATAAATCCAATTGATTTTTTTTTTTCATTTTTTTTTCAAAATATTACAATTTATTCAAAAGCTTATCAAGATTTAAAAAATGCAAAAATCGGATCGCGGAGCAAGTCAAAATTTAGTAAGTTACAGATAATGCTCTAAATATAATGTCTGTTGTAATATTCTCTGTAAAATGGAGCAAAAACGAAAAACAACATAGAAATTAAAACAAAAATTGTTACATCGATTCTTGTACCAAATTATGGTTTTATATTTTGCTTTGTTGAAAAGAAATCAACTTGAGAAGATAGGTAGACCTTATTGAAAACGACAAAAACGATGACATTTTAGAACGCAACGGAGCAGCGGATAACGATGCAATTTTGTGTTTTAATCAGGAAAAATCCTGAATATATGCAAAAAATGTTGGAGGAATCAAAATATGTCACAAGCAAGTTGTGCATATGTGTACAAATATCACAGGCAGTATTTGAAGTGACATAAACTTTATATCGGATGAGGATGATCTTTGAAGAAACAGTTAAACTGGAAAAATCTGAACAAAACTTTGAAAAACTTAAACGTCAAGGAAAGACATAGGCGTTTCAGATTTGCTTATCCTTTGAAAGTAGAGTTAAATTATAAAAGAAATTGAAACCTTAACAAAGGAAATTTTACAACGAGAGCAATTCTTAAAAAATAAATGTCAAGTATTAGAGAAAGGATTTAATGAATGTGCATTGTATAATAACATGTGAAATGAATAGAGATAGTATTTTTACAGAAATTATCGACGCTATGTTTTGACGTTACATTGCCGTTAAGTGTACTCTGCGGGTACTGATCATGATGATTTTAAAATGAAGTAAATTAATTTCAGTTAAATCGAATAGAATGAAACTTCAAACATCAAAAAGCACAAATATTTTTACATATTCTGAAGTGCTTATTTAAAATTTCTAGTGAGTAATATTAAGAGGATTGACATCGTCCACGAACTTTTAGAACAACCCTCGTATAATTTGATAGCAAGAAACACAAATACACGCACTAAAACAAAGGGGGTGAGAGAAAGAGAGAAAAAAAGATTGTCATAGGACCTTATGTAAAATGTTACTCTGTTGATTGATGCGATACACAAGGGCCCGTTTAGGTATGAACAATTTCCAAATGAAGTAAATTATTGAGAAACAAGTTGATTTAAGAAAATGAAAAACAGTCTCGTTTAAAGGCGTCACGTCGTAAATTTTATGATTTATAAAGTAACCTTGTTGACATAAACGAACCGTCATTAAATCAAAGGCAGGTCGGCCATTTTCGTACTACTTTATTTATTAAATCATGATTTATTCACAGAATTGTCGACATATTTTTTTTCATTTTTCCCGATCAAGACAAGAATCGCGTGGTGTGTCTTGCTTACTCCTTGATGACCTGATCCCACTTCTTGTGTTTTACGAGACCAGTGGTTGCTCTGCTCCATTTAAGCTTGACCATCGTTTGTTATCTTCAAATATTTCATTGTTCAAGAAACGTAATCACAAAATTCTCCCTCTCTTACACAGATACCTACAAAACAACAACATATCTGTAATTCACAGGGAAGCATTTGTAGCACTGCCGAGGCTCCGATCAATGTAAGTTTTCCCCTCACGCAAACAATAATGATAAATTTTACCATCAAAATATAAAGTTATCAAAACACTTTTCAAAATATAAAGGTATCAAAACACTTTTCACTACCATGAAAAGAAACGCATGCCGCATATACTTCTGTTGATAAATTATTGTGGAAGTTCTAAGTAAAACATTTTTTCAGATGAGTGCATTTTCTAAAGGTGTAAATGACAGAATTCTAAGATAGCTTTACTTCATATTTTATTTGGAGTTTAAAACTTGTATTATTAAAATTGTAAGTTATTACACTATGAGTTAAAATATTCAGACAGAAAAGCCTGTGATATATCTTTTTCATCAACAATAACATATGTTCCTGAAGCAAATTGCTTTGATAAATTTACAATAACTTTTTTTCAGATACCTTACAGGAAATGCCATTCATTGTACATGTGCTATAGAGTGGTTTGCTCAATTCCTCAATGCACACCCCATCATATCCCAGAGATCAGCAACACAATGTGCATACCCTCCTGATTTGAAGGGAAAGGAGGTTACTCTTGTGAACTTCACACGTCTGAACTGTGGTATAATTACATTTATTTTAATTTTTTTACTTTCTTTTTCTAAATAAAATTCAGAAGAAAAGGTAACTATTTGAACAGTTTAACAAACTTTTCACACTTACGAAACACAATTTTAGAGCATCAACAATAATGTTTAAATTCATCATTTCGTAAGTTCTAAGGTTGACATGCTGAGTGACGTTTTTAACACTAATTGTTAGCTAAACGCCATTATTTACATACTGAACTATCGACAGATTTTTTTTGTATCATGTAAAGGAACACACCACGGGTGTGACTGGTCTATAGGGGATGTTCTATTCCCGATGGCACCTCAACCTTACTGATGAGGTCCGTGTTTGTTCCTGATTTGTATTGTTGAATGGAAACCTGAGCTTGAATACTATTCGTTATCTTCATACATGTATATTTCAATTGTATTCAATGGTACTTATTTTGAGATTTTTTTCAAATTATGTTGTCCATTTGCTTTTAGTTTTATTTTTACTACATATACATGTATGCATAGAAATGTACTTGTACTGCCCTTCTTTATGTTGAATTAGTAATAAAGTAATGACATTATAATTGGTTGTTTTCTGATAATAAAAAATCTAAGCCTATATGAGAGTTTTCGAATCACTGTACAATGTAAATTAATTAAATCTTTTAGTAGATACACATTCCAGTATTGCTGTTAGGAGTTCTGGTGACTCAACGATACCAGCTTCTTATTATTGTAAGTATAATGCAATAAATATGCCAGAGTGGAATACAATGATACAAATATTTTTTATAATAAACTGTTAACCTCTTTAAAAATGTTCTCAAAACAGACTTTTTGAAAGATTTTTTTACATTCAGATATTTAAATGTTAAAAGAGAAAAAAAAATAAATGACAATTTCTTTTCAGAATGTCAATCTGTCACAGTTTTAAGATTAAGTTCGTTGCTTTCTTTAGTAATGCTTATTTTTTAACAATATTGTCTCTTATATACGAATTTAAATTAAAATTAAATTTCTAAATTTTTTTTTAAATAATTTTTTTTTTAGAAAAATAACAAATCTTTTTTTTTTTACATGAAAGACATTGAGTTTTACCAAAATATATGTACATGTACCTGGTATACATTACGATGCAATACCGTGTTCTTTATATTTCTCTAAATCCTAAATCATAAAAAAGTTTAATAATGAAAAAAGTGTCATGAACTAACAGCGACATATCTACATGTAATGCAATATTACTTTAATATCTTACTATATTTTAAACCTTTTCATTGGAAGGAGTTATTTCTCTTTGCTTTGATAATATGAGATGACATGTCAATAAAGTTCTTTCGAATTCATTGTAAATCATTTATCCGTTTCCTTTGATAGTAGCTACAGGATTGATTTTAGGAATGCTGATATCAACAGTGTCCTATTTTCTCATACGAAAGAGGTAACTTTATCAATAATGACTTCCTATAAAATCCTTTTCTAAATGGACTATATTAAGTTTGTGAATGAAGGATATGGAGATAACGAACAGTATTCAATTTCAAAGTCCATAAAACAATACGACAAAATAGAAGCAGAGAAAAAAAGGACCCCTAAAACATCAGAGGTGGGAGCAGGTGCCTTGGAGGAACGAGTATCCCCTGCTGACCGCCGTGTGCTCCTTGTTATGATCGGGAAATAACGGAAAAATCCATCGTCAATTCAATGTGTAAATAATAGACTAACAATTTGTATGAAAAACGTCAGCATTTGACTCAATGATCATTGCATTTGCTGACAAGTTCACTGTATCAACCAAATGATGACTTTAAACGAGACTGCTGATGTTCGTGTTTCATCAACTTGCTTGTCAATAATTTACCTCGTTTAAGAAATTGTTTATACGTAGAGCATGCTCTTCCATATCAAATCAACTGAGATATATAAACGCCGAGTGCATGTGATGAAGGTATATTGCTGCATATATAACATGTGTAAGGGAAGTTGACGATAGAAAAAGTAATGTCATCACGAGCCTGGTTGTTTGTTTACCATTAACGTCATTTAGAAGTAAATTATCTAAGTATGAAACAGATGTGCCAGACTATGTGGTATCTTATAATATAATAAGACACAACATACAGATACTCACAAGGAAAAAAATATTCCATTAATTTAGTGATGAAAAAACTCACTGATAATTTAGAAATGGCATAAATCTGCCATTCAGAAACGTTTCTAGACATTTCAATTTCCATTCAGTTGTATAATTGGTTCAATTCTGTGAACTTTGGTCACAAACTGATAAAGATTGCAAGGAAGATTTTGGCCCTTACCAAATATAGACCTGGCTGTAAAAATAATGGAGCATAGGTACAGTAAAAAGCCTTTTAAGGGTTACCAGAGAATTGCGTTAATGTGAAAAGTATTAGGGAAAATTTTCAACAAACTGAAAAAGATGCATTCATTGATTTTTTTTTTCAATACTCAATGAAATCATTAACTTTTTTCTCGTTCTTTGTCAACTTTTCCCCAGTATATTTTTACCATAATTACATTAATGGCAGTTGGAAACGCTTACATCTGTTGTTCATGTCCCTTGCTTACTTATGCATATTAGGAACCTACCGTCTAATAGAACTCAACAAACTTATTCTCAGAGACTTATCATTATATCTCTATCATAAGGAATCATTTTAATGTAAGGAGTCTTTAATGAGATTTCTTAAACTTTCAATCTCGTGTCTTATAGAAAACATTCTAGATGCAACGGTCCCACCAATAATGAAGAGGCAGACTCCCCTGTTATATTTACAACTGGATGTCAGATGTCATCTCTCTCCTCATTACGGGATCTGGTGGACTCTTCAATGGACAACGTGACCTATTACAGCCATAACAGTGGATTCTCTGGAGACTTGGAGGAGGATCCAACCTGCTTCGCCAGCGGATACGAAACCTGCAGTGGGTCTCCTATTTCTGGCAATAGATACAGTCGGATTCAACGTGTGAACAGCGATTATGAAGATATTGCTAATGTTTGTCGAGGTATGCTGCATCAATTATTGTGTTTTGTGTTTCCCTCAACGTAATTTTCATATAAAATAAATGTAAATGAGTCTGAGAGAGGAGAAGAAAGACAGACGTGTAGAGACGGAGAAGAAGAGACCTCAGATAATTTGTCAGCCTTTTCCCTTCTGTACATTTCAGAGAGCAAGTCCACGCAGACACAGATTTACAGAAGACCAACTGTATAGCTTGTTCAGATGAAATGAAAATATGAAAAAAGGACTTTCATAGTGAATTCTTCATTGATATGCAATCAAAAGCGAAAGAATCAAAACAATTCTTGTACATCTAAATGAGTGTGAGGAAAAAATAACAGACATATAGCTTTAATTCTCAACAAATGCATGTCTCTGCTATCTATGCCTTATATTGTTTGTGAACCCAGGGAGTTTTATTCATTTTGTCTATTAAAATCTGCAATTTGAGTATTAAAAAATAGTTATATTGCAGATTTTATTTTCGAAGACACATGAATGATGTATGAAAGAAAATAATAAAAACTGTTTATTAAAACGTCGGTGAAACATCGAGTTAAAGGTCACGGCATGAGTTTCTTCTCCTCATCTAGATTTAAAAAAATAAATTAAATGAATATAAGAATTAGACATGCCGGTAGCCAGTTGGATTTCTAAAACTTCCTTACATATCTTTTCTGCAGACTAAATAAATGTTGTCAATAGAGAACTCCAACATTCTTTTGATATCGACTTCAGAGTTTTTGTCTGGAAAATTACAGTGATTTTTAACAAAGTCACTTATTGGTGAAAAATAAACGATGTAAAAATCTCCATTTGCCTTTTGTCTTTTTTGGGGTGAAGGGGGGGGGGTGGCTGAGGGTTTAGACAGTACTTGTCTAAGATATCAAACAGTCACGAAAAAAGGAAGTCTGTTTCTGAAAGCTACATGTCAAATACTCCATCTATGTATACCGTCATCAAGAGGAGACGATGATACACCCGGGCATGTAATTTTCATAATAATATTAACATGGAGGTCAGAATGCGAATTTTTAAAACGGCCTAAATCAGTCTAAATGGCTGTTGGGAATTATTGGAAAAGTTAACAAGATAATAAGCAAGATGTCTAGATAGCAAATAGACATCTGTACAAATGGGACACTGTAAATCTAAGTTTTGTGCAATAATTATCGATTTGTAGCTTTCTGGTTTATGACGGTCAGACTCTCTTGTTTTTCAAACAAGAGAGCAACTATGCAGTGAAAAAATGAATAGTAAATTCTTAATAAAAGAATATTCAGAACCAAGAAACGTGAATTATATTTCCATACATACATGTAACCATATTATAATGACTTGTTTTACAATGGGAAATTATGGATGATTTATCTACTTCAATTGAAGTAAATACATTAATATTTTTAGACAAAACATGCAAAATTCATTCAGGTGTATACACTGTACATGTGGAAAGAATAAGATCCATAAACACCCAAATGTTATAACTATTTATTTAACTATTTAACCAGTTACGTTACATTTTATTCAATACATGAAATAAGAGTAGAAATCAACCAGTTGCACACAACGACGGATCAAAAGTTAAACACCGCCCCTAAGATTTTCATAATCAAAATCATCCGAGTCAGAACCACTAGTACTGAGTTTGTCCCCAACATTCTCATAATCATCTTCATCAAGGTCTTCGATATCTTCGTACCCATGGGAACTTGGTTCCTCCTGAATTGAACTATCTCCTAATTTGGCTTTATACCGAGATCGTTTGTGTTTTATGGACTGTTGACCTTTGTTCGCCATTTCTATATCTACTATTTGTCGAGTACTTGAGAATTCGTCTGGATTCATCTTCATGTCCCCCGTACAGCAACATCTAAAGATAAATAAAGAAATTATTCTTAATGTCTCAGACGGGTTAATTCTGTTCTTCGGGACGGGGTAAATAAGGCTCAATTTAAAGGGATACATCTATACGCTGTACCGACGAAAAGTGCTCTCTCCCCAGATAGACTATTGACCGAGGGGTAATTTTTCTACGTATGAGTTTGATATCCCAGTCAATGTTATACGGGGTCACATTCCGTCGTTACATGGGCATAGAGGCAAGCCACCCATCCATACCTGTACTGACCTACCGGTAGTAGTGCCTCCTACACATCTTATTAATGCTGATGATGTAATTTAATCGATAGGAATTTCAGACTTATTTACATCTTTCTAAATCTATACGTAAGAGACAGCATTCTTAATAATTCATACTAAGTTTCGACTTCATTGTTGTTGTTTTTTTCGCACTAATTTTTCAAAATCGACCTGTACATGTAATTACATACTTCTGATCAGGCCCCGGGATCATGAAACAGACTTAGACTTAAGTCAAAATTTCAAATTACTATAAAATCTTTAAAACTTTTTAAAGGAAACTCATAATTTGCATACAACAGTAGACTGATGATACAAAATCGGAAAGCATTTTCATTTTGGGCTGCTTGACCTCTAAAAATTTTCAACATCTAGGACATTTTTTGACTTAAGCTTAAGATGCTTCATGACCCCGGGGCCAGGACTTTGCATTTAATCCATAGTATGGATATTTTGTGTATCATTAAATCTTTCTGCAAAACAAGTTTATGAAATATCGGTAAATATTTCCATAAGTCAGAATAAACATGATAAACAAGTCTGAAATTTCTGATTGGATCATTTTAATTTGATTATTTCCCCGCCATAAGAAGTGACTACTGCTTATTTTGACCAGGTTTAATCACATTTTATTACAACAATTGTATTCAATTACGCCTTGATGATACTGCTATAAATCTTAGGCTCTGCTTAAAAATCAAAGCTGAAAACGTATTTTTGTTTCTAAAAGAAAAAAGACAAAATAATAAAAAAAACAAGAAACAAACAAGGAATTCTATTTTTCGATATCTGTTCAAAACTCTCAGTAATGAGTGTAATTTTCAGTCTTGGAACATCTTATGATACGTTAATTAATTAAATAAGCTTTTAAGATTTTAAAAAATTATATAGGAAAATTATTTTCAAGAAGGGGACTTTGTATCTACGATCAATATATTGACTTTTACAGTGAATATTAGGCGTTAGCTTAAACACACAAAAAAAAAAAAAAATGATCAAAAATTCTATAATGTAACAAAAGTTTCTTGTGGTGTTTCTTAACTACATGTATTTTGAAAATTATCTGATTTCAAAATTAAGGTCTTAAGTGATACAACTGTTAAATTAATGCCATATCTGACGCAATCTGTGCAAATAAAAGAGGGCGGATTAGTCTATTAAACAAGGAAGAATAAACCATCAAGGACATCATTCTCATGCGCTGACGTGAAAATGGGATACATGATTGCAAATTTATGCCTGGTAACTAGATAAAAGTAATCCATGTTTAAAACATCTTGTCAACGTCGGCATCATTAGCATATAATCTTTGATAAACGACTGCATAGCATTCTGTAGCGAGTCTAAACCTTGGAATTTAAGTACAGATGATACAAAAAATGTGCCTGAATTGGTATATTCAGTATAAAATATAAATTGAAATACTTGGATATTTTTGTTGTAAATAATGCAAAAATTAATTTCTAAAATATTTTGAATTGGAAACCTTCCAAGATCTTCAAAATTCAGCTTTTCTGCAATCATCCTTTTGTATCCAACGTACTTTTATAAACAAGACTTGCTTTTTTTATTTTCTATTTTTTTAATAGAGGTTTTTTTTGTATCATCTATCTCCAATTTTATTGATTCCTTATCAATTGTCTTAAAATAAATTTGATTTTTCTTGAAATCATTAAAAAACGCTAGAAATAATGAAACCAAAGCTGCAATAGTCATCTATAATGCAATCTATGTCTATCACGTAATTTGTTAAAATAGAAACGTAAGGGGGAAATGTAGACTGCGGAACAAAGAGGTTTATTCGATGAACATGGATACATTCTTCTTTAATCATTCTATGAGAGAGAGAAAAATGATAAATTGCATTGATTTCTCAAGCACGTTTAGGATTACATTTACAGTTTAAATGAAAATAAATTGATGACAAATAAAGATTTCGTCTCTTTTGTCTGTAAAAATTGATAAGTTTTAAAATTTCATGGAGTATGGAAGCATGTCATATGTAAATGAAACAAAAGCATCAAAGGAGACTGGAAGGGCTCTACCTCTCATTTGAAGCTTTGTCTCTCATTAGATAACACAAGATTAGTATCATCACCATCAAATTCTCTTCAAGATATTTTGTAATTAGATTTTTTTCTATGGATATCATTTTTAAATTAAGTCTTTGTTCCGTTTGAGGGATAACTTCTCAATCAAGGCAAATCTCTTTGAAAAATCTTGGAAAAAAGAATACACTGACATAAAACAAACTCAAGTGCATTCTCTTTCTCATCACTCAGTTTAAAAAAAAATCAAAGTAAATCAAAACAGCTATCGATTTTCGTTAAATCTCGTTTGTCCTTAATGTGGAAATAAGCCCGTCTTATTATGAAATAATGGCCTCTATCTGTCCTTTAAATTGCAGTCACTCATCAAATATAAATACACTGAATCAATCATTTTAAAATTACTGGACCAGCTTGATTGTAGATTAGCGTATCATTGTCTCTGCTTTTATCTTGTGTGCCGAGCAAAAAAAAAATTTCAAATAATAATTTGTTTGCATGCATTAGCATCGATTAATTTTGTTTTGCCATATCCATATAAAAAGCCACATTGGGGATATCGAAATCCTCTGAAAAATCGTTGGAGGAGGGGGTGGTTAATTATAAAAGAAATGACTTTTATAATCGAAAATTGATCATTAAACATAATGAAGTTTCTATAAAGAATGAAAGAAAATATGAAATCTCAAGATAAGAAACAATGATAAAATAGTAAAAAATTTAATAAACAGTATCACATGATAAAACTGTGCCGTTCAGTGAACTGAAATATTACTGAAATGTTACTGAATGACAGAGTTATGCTATTAAGACATATGTTTCAAGACCTTTCAGTTATCATTCAGTTCAGTGCAGAAACATGCAGTCTCATCCTGTGCTTCAGAGTTAATACCAATCAGTTTGGCAAAATCAAATGTCAGTAATACGTACCTCCGTAAACATATTATCATTCCAACAAAGGCACAGAGTAGCACCCCGAAGACGACAACAGCGAGGCCGAGGTACACACTGAAGGGGAAGGGAAAGGAAAAGTAGGAGGCGAAGTCCGTAAACTGTGTAAAGGACAGTAA